ATACATGCAATATCTTTTTCTTTTCTTTTTATGTGTCGTGACCTTTCAGGACGTAGGTGATCATGGCTCTCCACTTCGCCCTATCTTTTGTGGCCCTCAATAAGTTTCGTGTCCCTTCGACTCCCCCTTACCACGTTCTGCTATCCACTTACTTAACCTCGCCAGGTATGTCATGCGTTGCTTTCTCTTGTCTCTTTTTCCCTCTATTCCACCTGTGTGTATCAGATTCTCCAGACCATTTTTCTCATTATGTGTCCCAATATTTTCATCTGCCTCTTTCTTAAGTAAAAGCTTCTACCTTGTTTGCATCCTTCCAAAATCTCATCGTTGCTCACACGCTCGGTTTATGATATCCTAGAATCCTTCTGTAGAACCACATCTCAGTTGTCCTGAGTCTCTTCTTCATCTTTGAGGACACCGTCGAACATTCGCTGTCGTATAGGAAGACAGATGTCACGTAGCAGCTCAGTACTATTTTTTCTTTGTCACCAAAGAAATCCTCCTGTCTCATCGTACTCTACCCAGCTTTTGGAATGCATCCTTAGCCATCCCAATCCGTCTTCGGATCTCAGCATCGAACTTACCGTCCTCCGTCAGAACACTTCCCAGATATTTAAACTTCCACACCTGCTCGATTTTAGTGTCCCCGACCTGCAAATCGCATTTCGGGTTAATCCTTTTACTGATGATCATGTATTCTATCTTCTTGTAATTTATGGTTAGTCCCTTCTTGGCGCTCTCCTCGCAACCTTCTGTAAATATATATATATATATATATATATATATATATATATATATATATATATATCGTGTCTTTTGCTATAGTAATGAAGCTAACGAACGCAAAGTAAAGCCGCTTGGCACAGATTGACCGTAAAAAACTGTTGCGCATGCACACTAACTTAAAACGTTCCTTGCTCGATTCAGTCGTTGATAGCAGTGCTTGGAGGGGAAGTGTGTAGAGTGTGGCCGTCTCACCACACTACATAGTTTCCATGGCTTTTGCAGCAGTTTTGCAAAGCACAATATTACCAACGATCATATAATCCAAATCTCGACCCTTGCGACTTTGTCCATCTCAAAAATTAAAATCCCACTTAGAAGGGTGAAGATTTCAAGACGTTGAAGAAATCCACGAGAATACGTGGAAGCTGCTCTCTATTCCATTCAGAGAGTATAAGGAATGTTTAAATCAATGGGAATGATGTATGTGGCTTCTGAAGGGGACTATTTCGAAGGAGATTAAATACCGAATTGATATTTGTTGTAGTTTTACTTTTTGTAGCACCAGTCCCGATACATTTTAACCAGACATCGTATAAATTTGTTTTATTGATTATGAAAAATCTTTATCCACTGTGCCATGTGTCCTTGAGGACATCTGTGTATGAATTTCTGGGTATTATAAATTTAATATCTCAGTAACCATTTTTATCAGTGCTCATATTGCAATTTTTGCTGTTATCATTCCATATTTTTACCAGAGCTCATATTGAAACTTTTATTGTTATTAACGCTTTTCTCTGACACTCCTTATTACCGGGTCCAATATTGTATACATTTCTATACTTGGTCGGCTCAGGATATTTTTGTGGCCTTGCATATGTGCTGATTCCTTAAGTTTACGAATTTCCCAATAGTGTTCTTTGTCTATGATCTCAACCTGATCCCATAGAGGACAGTGATCTCCCTTCTCTCTCCATATGTGGTCAGCCACGCTTGATTCTTTTCACTTCCCCTCGTGTTACAGCTTTTTGGTGTTCTTGAAACCTTACCTTAAGAGGGCGGCCTGACTCCCCTTTATATTTCTTTCCGCGGGTTAGTGTACACACAGTCTTTTGTCATGTTCTCCTCTATGGAAGGAGTGTCTTACTCGGGAGAGATATCTGCGAAGTGTCGTTAAGTTTTTGAAGGTTGTCCTGATGTTATATGGACCACAAATCCTTTGTATTTTCTCTGATAACCCCTTCACATAAGTCAGACTGTTTTCTGAGTGTTGTTGTCCTCCTCTTGTACCCGCCTATCACAGTTTTTGTAGGGCTGCTGCCATGTACCTAGGGTAGTTGTTACGTTGTAGGGTACTAATTATACTGACCAATTATTTATCTAATGTCTCTGGGTCACCACTTATGACTTTTGCTCGGTGTTGTAAGCAGCGGACGATCCCTTTCTTTACGCTGTATGGATGGTGTGAATTGAAATTGAGGTACTGTCCGGTGAATGCTGGTTTACGTCATACGGATGTCTTGAACCCATGCTCTGTTCGAGATATTAGAACCTCCAGGAATGGGAGCGTGTTGTTACTCTCTTTCTCCATTGTGAACTGTATCGAAGGTCCTTCTGAGTTCACATGGTCTAGTAGAACCTGAACATCTTCCTGGCGTGGCCAGAGTATGAAGGTGTCATCTACGTACCTTAACCATATAGTTGGCTTTGGAGATATAGATTCTAATGCCATTTCCTCAAAGTACTCCATGTGCATATTTGCCATTGCTGGTGATAATGGCGAGCCCATTGCTAAGCCCTCATCCTGTCGATATATGTGTGATCCCAATCCGAAGTGTGTTGCTTGTGTACAGAAAGTCTCCATCAGATTATCTATTGGAATACTGGAATCTGTCTCTGAATTCTGAGAGTGCCTCCTCCGTGGGTACCTTGGTGAACACACTCACCACGTCCAAGCTCGCTATCTTGTTGGATAAGATAGGGGCATCTTTGATTATTTCCACGAAGTGGGCGGAGTTTCGGACATATGAAAGAGACTGTCCAATCAATGGGTCAAATCTACAAGGAAGCGACTCAGAGGGTGGCACACAGAGCCTTGGCAGCTAACAATCGGCCTGAGCGGAATACCGTCTTTGTGAATCTTAGGGAGACCGTATATGTAAGGTACTTGCTGTAAGGCTGCGATAACTCCCTATACGTGTTAAGTGCGAAGTGATCCTTGTTCTTGATTAGGATCTGTGACAGTTTACGTTCCGTTTTCATTGTAGGATCCTTTTTTAATTTGTTGTAGCTACCATTGCTAATGAGGTCTTCCAGTTTTCTTGTATAATCTGATTTGTCCATCACTACAGTCGCATTACTTTTGTCAGCCGGTAGTATGATGATGTCTTCGTTCCTCTGTAGGTAACCGATCGCCAGACTCTCTAGTTTTGCCCATAGAAATAATACTAAAGTAGCGATAGGTATACAATCTATCTATCTATCTATCTATCTATCTATCTATCTATCTATCTATCTATCTATCTATCAGGGTGTATTCCTATCTATCTATCTATCTATCTATCTATCTATCTATCTATCTATCTATCCAGCTAGCTAACTAGCTACCTACCTTCCTAGCTATATATATATATATATATATATAATAGTCTACTCATATCTATATATCTAGCTACCGTAATCTATCTATATATGTTTTAGTTAATTCAAATCTATCTTTCTATCTATCTATCTGTTTGTTTGTCGTAGTCTATTTATATCTATCTATCTATCTATCTATCTATCCTGCTCCCTATCTTCCTGCTCCCACCTTCCTCATACATACATACATATATATATATATATATATATATATATATATATATATATATATATATATATATAAAGTAGTCTATTAATATCTAACTATCGTAGTCTATTCATATCTATATATCTAGGTATCGTAATCTATTCATATTTATCTATATGTTATACCGGAACATTACCTATTCTATTGTTAATAGACTCTCCCACACATAATAAGTAGTAGCCGTAGTAGCGGTCGCCAGTAGGGATCTGTGGAGTCGAGTGAGTCAGTCGATATCGGACATTAAAGTATGAACAGTCACAACAAGATTGCTGCGTCATTAACTATTATTTAAAGTTTCTAACGTTTTGTACGTCGGGCCCTATTTGGACCGATTTAGCGAAATACAAGCCTCCACTGTGAAAACTACTGTACAACACTACATATGTTTTAGTTTATTCAAATCTATCTATCTATCTATCTATCTATCTCTCTCTCTCTCTATATATATATATATATATATATATATCTGTCTGTCTGTCGTAGTCTATTCATATCTATCTATCTATCTATCTATCTATCTATCTATCTATCTATCTATCTATCTATCACAGTCTATACCTATCTATCTATTCCCCCGACTAATAAAATACGCAGGGAATTTAGATGACTCGCCTCTGGGTAGATGAAATGGCGGCTCCATTTGCAAAAGCCTGAACTGGTGGCTCAGCAGGTCAGAACATTTTCCATGAAAATAAGAAGAATGTAGCAATAGACTTGCGTCGGTTTTTTAGTTTGGGAAAAATCTATCATACGTCACTAATGCAGGGAATTTTAGCTTAAAATTTATATTTTCACGTTTTATATTTTACATATTGCCGTTCGATATACCTAGATTTCATTCACCTGTCTGTCATTTTGGACTTAGTTTTTCTCGTTATTGTTTTTCAATGTTAAAAACCTTTTTTTAGTGAATTGTTTTTCAATGGCAAGACCTAATTATATGTATATATAAAAAACTCCCGAATTTTACAGCGACAGCTTAAAAGAAATTGCCGTAAGTTTTTTTTTTTTTTTTACTGTAAGTGGGTTTCAGTTAAAAGTTTTTCTTGTTTATTTTTCTTCTCCTCTCTCTCTTTCTTTTTTCTTTCAAAGGTTTCATTCTTTCTTTCTTTCTTTTCTCAGTTTATTCAAAAAATCTAATCTATCTATCGAGATTAAATTCAGGTTCAAAAAAAAAATTATGTATATCTATCTATCTATCTATCTAAAATCTCTCTTTCTCCCTCTCTTTCTCTCTTCTCTCTCTCTCTCTCTCTCTCTCTCTCTATATATATATATATATATATATATATATATATATATATATATATATCAATTCACCCGACTATAATGCCTTTCAAGACAAGTTTTCGAAGATTAAATGACATTAGAAGAAATGACAATATGACTTGGGCAAGATAGAAGATGGCGATTGACTAATAAGACGATGTCGATTGATGATGACCTACCTTTGGCTACTAAAACTATCTATCTATCTATCTATCTATCTATCTATCTATCTATCGTAGTCTATTCACAAACCAGCTTGTTCATTATCTACCTCAGTCTATCTATCTATCTATCTATCTATCTATCTATGTTTTTTTATCTGAGTCTCTTTCTTTCTTTCTTTATTTCTATTTATCTATCTATTTATCTATCTATCTATCGTAGTCTATTCACATCTCAGCTTGTTCATTATTTACCTCAGTCTTTTTATTATCTATCTATCTATCTCAGTTTATTTCATTATCTATCTATCTATCTATCTATCTATCTATCTTCTATCTATCGTTTCTATTCTTTGTTCATTATCTTTCTTTTCTCAGTTTATTTCATTATCATCTATCTATCTATCTATCTATCTATCTATCTATCTATCTATCGTAGTCTATTCACAACCCAGCTTGTTCATTATCTACCTCAGTCTATTTTATTATCTATCTATCTATCTATCCTCCATCCATCCATCTATCTCTATCGTAGTCTATCATTATCTATCTATCTATTTATTATCTATCTATCTATCTATCTATCTATCTATCTATCTATCTCTCTTTTCAACATCCCCTCTCTCCTTTCTCTCTATCTCTATCTCTCTCTCTCTCTCTCTATCTATCTATACTCTCTCTCTATCTATCTATCCATATCTATCTATCTATCTATATCTATCAATTCACCCCAATCATCTATCTATAATCCATCTTCCATCCATCTATCTAGACAAGTCTATCTATCTCTATCCATCTGAGATTAAATCTATCATTATCTATCCATCTATCCATCTATCATCCATCCATCTCAGACAATCTACGCATCTCAGCAACCTATCTATCTAATCTATCCATCTATCTATCTATACAAGTCTTTTCCATCTATCCATCTATCTATCGATCCATCTATCCATCTATCTCCATCTTTTCCTTTGGCTACTAAAACTATCTATCTATCTATCTATCTATCTATCTATCTATCTATCTATCTTCCTATCTATCTATCTCTATTCTATCTATCTATCCATCTCTCAGTCAATCTACGTATCTCATTATCTACCTATCTATCCATCTATCTATCTATCTATCTATCTATCTATCCATCTATTTTTTCTATCTATCTCTCTTCCCCATCTTTCTTCTATTTCTATCTATTTCTATCTATCTATTTATCTCATCTTTTCATCTAATCTACGTATCTCTATTCACATCTATCATCTGCTATCTATCATCTATCTTCTATCCTCTATCTATACTATTTTTATCTATTCTATCTATCTATCTATCTATCTATCTATCTATACAAGTTTTTATCTATCATCTTCTATCTATCTATCTATCTATCTATCTTTTATCTATCTCTATCTATCTATCTATCCATCTATCTATCTATCTATCTATCTTTTATCTATCTATCTATCTATCTATCTATCTATCTATTCTATCTATATACAAGTCTTTTATCTATCTATCATCTATCTTGTCTATCTATCTATCTATCTATCTATCTATCTATCTCAGTCTTTTCAATATCAATCTACGTATCTCAGTATTTCATTATCTATCTATCTATCTATCTATCTATTATCTATCTATCTATCTATCTATCTATCTATCTATCTATCTGCATCAATCGTCTATCTATCTGCATCAACGTTGCTACAGGGGTGCTGGGCTATCCTGGAATTTGACAACTAAAGAATACATAAACGAACAAGAACAGAGCTATCTTACAATTCTTGGAGAAATAGTAGGACTTTTTAGTCCTGGGTATGACGATAAACTACATCTGGCAGCAAGGGTTCTGCTCGGGATGTTTCGAGGATCGTGGGACCACCGCTTGTGATGGCAACGGTTAGGGTCCCAGCTATGGGCAAATAGTGAACTCCTAAAATGGCGTCAGTACATGAGAATATAGAAATACATTAGAAAAAACTACCAGCAATGCATTTTCATATTAAAAAAAAAAAAAACAATTAAAAAATTACCAGTTATACATTTCTGAAACAAAAAGAAGGCCGTCCTGGGTATGACGATAAACTACATCCAACTGCAAGGCCTTCGATCATGTTTTGAGGAGCATGGAACCAACTCTTAGTCGCTGGTGTTCTCAGGTCTAACCTGACCAGGGGTGGTAGCACCTGTTAGGGTCCCAGCTATGGGCAAATATTTACACTCTCACCCCCAAAAGTGGTCAAAACACTATGAAATTATAAAAGTAGGTTTTACTGCTAGCAATACGTTGTTGGAAATATTATTACCAGTAATAAAAATCTCATCGGTATTAAAATGACCCACTGAGGTTGATATGCCGTAAAAAATACAAAACCGAACCGATTCTGAAATACGATTATCAGAGCTCGCAGGAAAATAACATTTCGTCATAAGGGGTTGATATGCTGCTAAAAAGCCAAACGAAACGAGATTAATCGTATTTGTATCTTGAATTTTCTTTTTTTTATTCTCAAAAGATTGTTAATGAAATATTTCCCCTGAGCCGGGGTGGTAGCACCAGTCAGGATCCCAGCTATGGGCAAATAGTTACACTCTCACCCCCAAAAGTCGTCAAAACACTATGAAATTATAAAAGTAGGACTTACTGCTAGCAATACGTTTTGGAAATATTATTACCAGTAATAAAAATCTTATCGGTATTAAAATAACCCATTGCGGTTGATATGCCGTAAAACAATACAAATCCAACCGATTCCGAAAAAAAAAAAATCAGAGCGTGCAGATGAAATTTCTGGGACACATAATGTGAAAAAAGGGCCTCGAGGACGCATATTTTCTAAGAAAATTTCTCGGACATTCAAGCCGGTAAATGTCGTTAATACTGTTTATTATAAGCAGAGCATCTACTTAAATATTTGTATCTATAAAAAGAACGTATAAACATAAAAATGTCTTAAAATAATTGTCGGACTTTGTCCATTTCATAATATATATATATATATATATATATATATATATATATATAGATAGATAGATAGATAGATAGATAGATAATATTAGATAGATAATAAGTGGTAAATATTCATAAATATGCAAAATATATAAATACCCATACATGTATATATTTTTAATAAAAATTCCAAGAGGAAGAATCCAGGTGTGTATGTCACCACGAAATGTATCTTTATGCATTAGACATCCGACAACATTTATTTTTCTCTTACTTAAACCCCTTCCACCCACCTCTCCTAAAATTCTCTCTGTTAAGGTTTAATCTCCCTCCTCCTCATACTTACAGTCTCTATAAATTCTGTTTTTATTTCCGGAGTTGTTTTCTCTTTGAATTTGTAGGTCTGATGAATTGGATCGTATTTACGATTCCAATGGAATAAATTATGACCATGGAATATTAGTGTTTAAGCCTTTTTATTATATATATATATATATATATATATATATATATATATAGATAGATAGATAGATAGATAGAGAGAGAGAGAGAGAGTGTGTGTGTGAGGGAGAGAAAGAAAGAGAAAAAGAGAGAAAAAACTATCCTTGCAAAGTATTGTAATTAAAACAGACAAAATATATCTATAGCTTCGAGCGAATTATATCTTGCAGAACATCGATAATTTTCGATATCTTGTCCATTTTATTTTTATAAATCAATGAACACTTTAGCAAACGAGAGTTTCTACACAAAGGATACGCAGATTACGACACAAAGTTAACTCCTCGAGTAGCCTTGTGCAATGCCATCTTGTTAGCACGCCCACTGTGGCCGGCTTAATCTCATCGCATTATGGCCAAAGGCACATAATATTTCTCGAATATTTTGACGGCTTTTCTTTTTCTGCTCGTCTGACAAGCGTCCAAGTTCGCCATGGTCAAAGCTCATCTGGACTGAGGATACGAAGAACAACGCCTGTAAGTCATACGTCTGCTACCCTGAGGCCAAAATGGTGTTGAACTATGGCGCTAAGCAGCGGTAGAAGTGTGAACTCGATGCAAAGATTATGACTGGATTTTCTATCTTTTCTTGAGCCGCGGTCCGTGTCAAAGGTTGCTTGGTTTGGGGTTAGACGAAAGCTGGAAGACAGATGCAACGATGCTTCAGAAAAGACGGAATCGAAGTATTATATCAAAGCAAGTTTGTTAAAAACCCCAAAAAATAAAATAAAGATTTATTGAGAAACACTTCGATCTCGATAGCCGCAATTGATTTGATAGTTACTAAGTTAATCTTATATAAGGGGGCGCTGAAAATTCCTAGCTTCACGAACTCCCAAGTCTGGTCAGAATAAAGAGACAGAAATAGTTTTGAGGTGATTTATTTACACGTGAAGTCACAAGGACTATAAATACAGCTATTACCCATGAGGCAGTTGTGTGCATACTTTCCGTGAGTCAGGAACGCTAGACTACAATGGCATCGCCGATATCGAAAGAAACGAACGAACCATTATCACTGGATAATTATGAATATACACTAGCGTGGCTTAGGTTACTAGCAGCTAAAGTTAGAATAAAAAAAAATCTGTATGATTTAAAATCAGTTGGATGAGAAAACCAAATAACGGATATATTTTTGGCAACTACTTGTGTGACCATTATAATATTATCAGCAGCTGACCATCTTAGACACTTGGAGGAAATGACGTTTGACGATATGTCAGCTAATAGTGAAAAACATAACCCACCCCCAAGAAAAGAAAAAAATGAATGCAGAGAGAGAGAGAGAGAGAGAGAGAGAGCTTAGTGAATATTTCTCAAAAAGCGAATGAACCATTTATCGAATAAGTTCTTCTTTATAAAATAGGCGTCAAAATATAGTGACCTTGAGTAAATTAGGATAAAAAAAAACAGCCAATCGAAGAGCATTGGATCCAAATGAAATTGTTGAATGGGCTTCAAAATGAGGAATATGGACAATTGACTCTATTGCATTTATAAATGGGAAAATCGTCATTAGAATGGTGTGTTGAATTTTTTCCGCATCAAGAATTGATAGGAAATGGCGTACTGGACATAATTTCGACAAAATTAGTAAACTATCAGTTCATCCCATAAATTCTGTCCGAATTTTAACTTTTTTTTAAAATGAACGAAATTTAAAGAGTATTTTATAATGTCTAATGGAGCTGAACATTATTGTTATGTTTAGATGCATTTAAACTGAGCAAATTTTATTTCAGAGAACAATAAAATTAAATTTTGTTTGATTAAATCCCTGCTAACATGGAAGTACCCAAGAATTATTTGAGGCACATAATGCTTTATGAGTTCAAGAAAGAAAACTCAGCAGCCGAAGCGGCTAGAAACATTCACTCAGTTTATGGAGAGGAATGTGTGAATGAAAGAACTTGCAGAAGATGGTTTGAAAAATTCAGAGGTGGAGATTTCACCCTTGAAGATGAAGATCGAACCGGACGTCCAGTTGAGTTTGATGAAAAGCTTCTTGAAGCAGCCCTTGAAGAAAATCCTGCTTTATCAGTTGAGGAATTGGCAGTGGTTCTCAGTTCAAACCATACAACTGTTCATCGCCATCTTCAACAACTTGGAAAAGTTCCTAAACTTGGAAAATGGGTGCCTCATGAATTGTCTGAAAACAACCTCAAATCCCGTGTTGACATCTACTCTTCTCTTCATTCTCGCCAACATATTTCACCTTGGATAGACTTGTGACTGGCGACGAAAAATGGATCTTTTATCGAAATGTTAAGCGTCGTAGACAGTGGCTTGGTAAAGAGGAAGGACCCCAGCCACAGCCGAGAAAGCAACTTCATGGGCAAAAGGTTCTTCTTTCAATCTGGTGGGATTTCCAAGGAATAATCCACTTTGAATTCTTACCACCTAATGCAACAATTAATGCTCAAATATACTGTCAGCAATTAGAGCGTTTGAACCAAGCTTTGAAGAAAAAAAGACCTGCTCTAGTGAATCGAAAAGAGGTGATGTTTCATCAGGACAATGCGCGACCGCACACAGCAAGAATCACGTCACAAAAGCTCGAAGAACTTGGTTGGGAGAAAATTCCTCATCCACCTTATATTCCCGATCTTGCTCCTTCAGACTACCATTTGTTTCGTAGCTTACATAATCATTTGGAAGAAACAGCTTTTGTAACACAGGAAGAGGTTAAAACTAACATTTGTGAGTTCTTCGAATCAAAGCCAAAAGATTTTTACAGTAATGGAATTAGTAAGCTTGTTAATAGATGGAAGGAAGTCATAGATAATCAGGGAAAATACATTGTTGATTGAATCTGTAATTAAATGTAACATTTCGTCACTTGTTTCTTTATTCAAAATTCGGACAGAACTTATGGGATGACCTGATGATTAAACGCAGAAGAAAATAGCATTTTAAAAAGCTATGAAGCAAAATTCAGACTAAAGGAAAATGCACTCCCCCTACCCTCATATTTCGTGGCTCGAAAAGTGCCAGTCTGTATACTACCAATAGTTGTGGGAAAACTAAAACAATTACTGGGACAAGATCTACTTGAACGAGATTACACCAGGGGGCATTTAGGTCCCACCATTTTACTGTTCACTGTTCGTCACTCCTACCCCAATAGTTTCTTTCCTCGCACTGCCAGACTGCTGAAATTCTTTCCACTTACTTGCTTCCCTGATAACTACGATCTTCAAAAATTTAAATGAAGTGCCAACCACCATCTTCTGTTGACGTGAACCCCGTTCATCTTTTATCTTTTCCTCAATTTCCCCCCTTTACAAACA